AAGTTGACATATTTTCACTGCCCTTTACCCATATTTTATTCATTTGTTCATTCATTGATAATTCCACCATCTGTATGTTTTTGTTTGTTGCTGAGTTCATCATTTTGGACGTTGTTGCAGTCCACTTGCATTGGGGACAAGCGGACTCAGTATACGCACAAGCTTACTAACAGTTAGTGGGCTAACTATAATCCAATGTACTATCCGTCATTCTACCAACTGTTATTGTACCAACACTGAGCTCATCTATCGGTCAGCGGACAATCAGTCAATGGACTTATTATCAGTTAGTGTGCGTATCAGTGAACTAATAATCAGTTTGTGCACTATCACTGTAGTAACAATCAGTCTGTGTACAAACAATCAGCCAGTGTACTATAAGTCAGTCAGTGCACTAACTATCAGCGTGTACTTAGAATCAATGTACTATCAATCAATATACCCACAATCAGTCAATATACTTAATGGACGAACTACCTGTCAGTGGACTAACAATCCAAGTGTGCCACTTTCCAGAGACAGCACTTGATTGGCACTATCTGTCGAGCTAACTAGCTAGCTAGCTGGCTAGCTAGCCATCTATCTTTGTATGTATCTGTTTACCTACCTGTCGATCTATCTATCTATCTATCTATCTATCTATCTATCTATCTATCTATGTATCTATCTATCTATCTATCTATCTATGTATCTATCTATCTATCTATCTATCTATCTATCTATCTATCTATCTATCTATCTATCTATCTATCTAGCCAGTTATCTAGCTAGCTAGCTAGGTAGCATCTATCTATCTACCTACCTGTCCTTCTGTCTATCTATCTATCTATCTATCCATCTATCTATCTATCTATCTATCTATCTATCTATCTATCTATCTATCTATCTATCTATTTCTGTCTTACCTATGATGATAAAGAAGTTTCTGATATAAAGATAAGGAAGGAACGGATACATTGATCTTTTCGTAATGTTTTTCAGGCTGGTCAGACAGCAAACAGAGTGGAGAAGAAGAGTCTCTGCTCATGGCTCATGTTGTCATGGCAACAGCATCAGCCTGACACACACACACACACACACACACACACACACACATAGTTATAGAGTGAGAGCGCTGGTGTGTGCAGTAATTAAAGTGTGTGAGGCGATATTAAAGACGAGGCGTTTAGCCTTGTGTTTCTGCTCCAGACTTTTTCCTCGCTATTTTGTTTGAGAACATCACATGGTCTCACCTCGTTCATCACAACTAGTGACCAAAAGGAGGGTCCAACATTTCCCAATCATCCCGATGACTCGCTCCGATGCTTTTCGATGTGGTCTAAGTTAGCCTGGCGTTTTGGGAATCAATAAGTCTTTCCTTTTTATCCCCGCCATTCCCTACTGCAGTTGCTGACTTTTTTCGCGTGTTGAAGAAAAGACGGAGTCAAATGTTGAAATAAATGAAAACAGCCACGTTTAAATGGTTTATCAAGTCAGACAGGGAGTGGACCTCAGTCATTAAGTTCCCGCGTTGGCCGTTTGCCGCCACTTGCATCACCGCCAACGACAATGCAGACAGAGGCAATCTGCCCCAGACAGAGAGATTGGTTTGAGAGAAGGAGGAGAAAAAGAAAATTCTTTAAAGATATTTTGTCCCTCAACCGTGACGGAGAAAGTTCCACCGGGCCCCCCGGGCCGACGTGACCTCGATCGGATGACGTCTGTCTGTCGCCAGGTGGCGCCACCACAAAAGTTCCCTGATCCCCGCTGGACATTTCACTGGTCACAGCAGCGAATCACATCACTACACAAATGATAAATAAGGGTAACCGCATGTAAACATGGTGTGAATATTTCCCAATGTGAACCTAATGAAGTTTCTCGAGGAGTGACCCACATGACGATGTCACATTTTAGTGGGAACATGCCCGGTGGCCATATTGCGTTCTCGTTTTGATGAGAAGTTTAAAAAAAGAAGACCAAAAAAAAAGTACAAGAAAGTATTCAGGTCTAATTAACTTAACGACACCCCAATCAAGTCAATTAATCAGGTTGTCTTATTATTTGTGGCAGCACCAAAACCTCATTTCATACCGTCTTTCTTTCATGTTTGTGTGTGATAAGCTTCTCATTTATGTTTTTAATCTTTCATTAGCCTTTCGGATTCGAAATTCATCCATCCATGCATCCAACCCTCCAGTTTCTAATCCGCTTATCCTCACGCAGGTCGCGGCCGTGCAACGCCCTATCCCATCTGACTTCGGGAAGTGGGTGGGCTACACCCTGAACGAGTTGCTAGCCAATCGCAGGTCACAAACAGACAAAAAAAAAAAAAAATCACACTTACACCGAGGTTCGATTCCCAGTGTTCCATTAACCTGTGGGTGGAAACTGGAATACCCGGAGAAAACCCACGGTGGCACAGGGAGAACATGCAAACTCCACACAGGAAGACCAGGATCCGAAATTGAACCTATTACCTCTGTACACTGAAGCAGATGTGCTAATGCTACCTACATTCGAAATTCATTTGAAAAAAATGAAATCACTTATTATAATCAGCAATTAACCAACGAATAATTTAAAAAAATGTTTTATTTAAAACTATTTATTGATCTTTTAAGAGCTTTATTGTTATTAGGGGGGAATAATGAAAATTGGATCAGAAAGAAAAGCTACAATAAATAAGAATTAAATGCAAAGAATTAAATAAACAATGACAAGTAAAGAAATATTAATAATAATTAAAATATATTAAAAAAATCTAAAACTATATTTATTTATATTAAAACTTTATTTTATCAGGAATCTTAATGAAATCAAAATAAAATATATTTAGTGTAGCAAAATAATTATTTTCATAATTTAAAAATAATTTTGGGTCTTTTTTTAAGGATTAAAAAAGGGGGTTTCAAGAAAAAAATATAATCAAATTTTTTAGTCAGATTTTTTCATGACAATAAATTGTATTATTCAATATAAGAGTTAAGTTTTTTATCGTGTAGTTGTATTTTTTGAGCGGGGGAAACTACCACGTACATACTGTATCCAAAAAAAAAAAAAAAATACAATTATAAACACATGATATAAAAGCTGTATCTTTTTTTCAGCAAAAAAAAAGTATATTTTCAAGTAAACAGCTAGAAATACTAGTCACATTTAGTATTTTTTTAAACTCCTAATCTCGCAAGTGTAAAGTTGGATTTTTGGGGGGGAAAGAAAAACGTCGGTGGTTCTCTCAGCATCACCACTTCTTGCCACCTGATCACATGACTAACTTTCCCACCTTAATGTCTATTTCATGTAGAGAAGGTCATCTCAAGGTAGTTTTCGCGTCTGTGGCGCGTGTGACCTCGCCACAGGCATGGCACCGTTTCTGTCTACTGTTGGCCAATTAAATTTAACGTCTGTGGAGAGGCGGGAAGACGGGAAGATGGATGCCGCCCTGCTGCAATAGATGATCTTTGAACCCCCGCTTGTTTCATTCCGAGGACACTGAAAACAAAAATGTTCCCACTATTCCCCCCCTCCCCCCCTCTCTTTCCAGCTTCACTGCTCAGTTTTATTGTGAAAATGCCAGATATTGGGCATGTTCTAAGGTTTGCTCATCAGTTTCACTGTGAAAGTGAGCTACGGTGGTGAGTTTTATTTTGAAACTGGGCTGCTAATGAGCCAGTTCAGAGGTATTCTGGTGAGTTTTACTCTCACAGGGAGGTAAGAAAATTCCAAGACGCACTCATGAATTTTACTGTGAAAGGACATGCTATTGAGAGAGTTGAAAGTAGTTCAAAGTTACGCCCATGAGTTTTTAACCGCATGCGTTTCATGATAGTACATGCATGCTAACTGTGAGAATGTCGGCTGAGGTTGTATGGTCAAAGTAAGACGCAAACTCTGCTTGATCTTGACGGTAATAAAAGTTTAATTGTCCTCATCGGGTGATGTGACTCATCCGCCACCTTGTATCAAACATTCACGTTAGGAAGGTCGAGAGGCTTCAAAATGTCCGCCAGGAAGACACATTAAACTGAAGAAAACATGGCGGATTCCATTCTAACATAACATAATTTGTGCTTGGAAGTCTACACTTGTAGTGCTCGCAAAACACTTTGCTAGCAGACATGGTGTAGTATAGCATAAAATATATCGCATACAGAATTGAATACTAATGAATGTTTTGACCCAGCATGCTAGAGAATGTTACATCACAACATGTTAGCATCCAAATTGCTAGCTGAATTACGAATACCTACAGTATGTAACATCATACCATCTTAGAGGCCATTTTTATGAAAATGCCAGTCGTTATGATTTCATAGCGCACTAGTAAGATATGTTTTGACCTAGTATGCAAGCAGATATTCCGGCATAAAATATGAAATATGATCTGAAGTCATGACTTGTTAGTAGTCTTGCGTTGGCCGGTGAACCCGAAGACAGCTGGGATCATGGATGGGTGTTAGCAGCCAATTTTGTCAGAGCACTCTCGCAGCTAAATCGTGACCTAGCACACTTGCAGACATTATATCATAAAATTCTACCAGATATGTTTTGAGCTAGCATGCTAGAAGACTGTGTCATAACACACTAATGCGTATTACATAAAATTAGGGATGGCTGAATACTCGTGAAGGATGCCAATATCAGTCACTGATTCTTCAAAAGCCATCTTGTGGCCATTCTATCAGAAACTAAATTACATGCATGGTTGACAGGGTGTTTTTCTGACTCAATTGCATCCTTCTCTATACTCTTGTATAGCCATTAAGATGTAATGTCTTTAAGTATATATACAGTATGTTTGTAAGGTTTTTATTAATGTTTTGTGTTTATTAGTTGTGTGTTTCCATCAAAATGTATACATTTATTTTCTATTTGTATGGTCTGATGAGTCTCGGCTTTACATTATTTTCATGCATACACATTTACGAGAATGGTGTTATTCAGTGCAATAATCAGGTATATTTTCCTGTTGAAGGCAGTACAGGCATCATAGCTAGTTTACTTACCTGTGTATATTATACAGCGGGCTATACTCGCCTGTTGCCTGATTTTTTTTTTTTTAACTTTTATTTAATTCTAACTTCAGTATTTAACTGACTGCATAACCTAACCACCGGTGAAACCAATACTGTAAGAAAGAAAGGTCTTTGTTCACGATTATCTGTCATTGTGTTAATTGCAGTTTTATGGATCAAAAGCATGATTTGTATCGGTACTTTGTACAGGTGCTTACTCAAGAGCGAATGCTCATCCTGTAATCGATCCGGAAAAAATATGGTTTCGATTATCCCTGGTGGGTATGTTTTGGCATAGTTTGCTAACACATGTTAGGCTGACGTCACATCACGCTGCAGACATTTCATAAAATGCTAGTCGGATACGTTATCACATGCAAAAACCATACAATCTCATGCATGACGCCCCAAGCTACAGTAACACAGTCTGTGCTTGTTAACACGTGCACTTAACTTCCAGACAACGCGTCAATGTGCTCGCTCACAGTGCAACACTTTTCTCTGCCTGGCATGCACGACAGATGCTAAAGATGCTACAGGTACCAAGCATTCATTTGAATGAAAAGAAGACGCTAAGATTAGTGTGTGTGCTGGCGTTCCTTAGGAGTCTTTAGCTATGGTTAGCAGTCAGTAGTTGTCAGTAATTGTTGTTTTCAGTCTGTAGTCGTTGATAGAGCTCACTATCAACCGCTACTGGACACTGGTAGTCATTAGCAGTCACAAGTGGTCGTTAGTAGTTGCTATCAGCCGTTAACATCTGTTAGCGTTGATGTAAATCAAAGACGCTAAGTTGAGTGCATGCACTAGCAGTTGCTAGCAGTTCCTGGAGGCGATTGGCGGTCGTTAGTTAGCACATTTAAAACAGTTGTTACCTATACTTAGCAACCAACGGTCACTATTGGTCATTGGCAATCATTAGCTGTCACTCGTGATTGTTAGCCATTGTTGGTGTTCGCGAGCTATAGTTAGCTGAGACTAATGGTTGTGAGCTGTTACGAGCAGTCATAAGCGGTAGTTAGTGGTCATTAACAGTCAAGAGTAGTCATGAGTGGTAGTTTGCATTTATGTAAAAAGGGGATACTAAGTTGAGCCTGTACTGAAGTAATGCAAAGTGTTTCAAGAATGTGCTAACACTTGTCCATTACAATTAGTGGACGCTACAATTCATGACGAAGTGCTAGTTAGGCTAACACACGAGCTAACCTATCACATGCTCCCAAAGTGTACACTACACAGGAAGTCCCCCCCCCCAGCTGCTTCATAAACAACACAAACAAAAAAAATCTAGTTGCAGTTAAATATTCACATCAGAACAACAAAAAATTGTGCTTTTCAGAGATACGGCAACCATGTTGGCGACAGTGGGCCGAGCCCCTCAGGGTCCAAAGGTTCTGGAGGCGTGGTACTGGCTGGCCACTTTGGGTTTGATGCCTCTACTGTTGTAGTAGTCGACCACCTGGTTGGGAACCTCGGCTAACACGCTCTTAGCCAGTGCTGCTGGCGATGCCTGTGGCCGGCAAACAAAACAGGTTGACACGAATACAAACTGTAATTATTGTTGTTTACTATCAAAGGTGTACCACAAAAAATTGGTCTAACATGAGTGATTGATGGTAGCAAAAAGCGTTAGACGATCAGCAAAAATGTTTATTTTCTTACCATCCTCATTGTCATCATTTCCATCAACATTGTCATCCACCTCAACATCATTATTGTTATCACTGCTATTTTCCTTATTTTCATTTTTTATCACCATCATTCTTCTACTATTTTCTTCAAATGGTCCTAATCTCCGTCATTCGCATCGTTATGCTTATTTTCATCATCATTCTCATCATCCATATTTTTTTTTTGTCCTTATCATCATTCTCTCCCTCATCATTGTTATCATCATCATTATCACATCATTCCCCTCATCATTTTCATCATCATCGTCCTCATAGTGTTGCGGTTAAGTGACACTCACATGCTTGAAGTTCCTGAACGGCACAAATTGGACAATGTCTCTGAGTACAGGCTCCCCTCTGGGCGACCTGAGGATCCCGTCGTCTCCGTCCAGCATCTGCATATCTCCAAAGTCTGCGTTTCCCACGCCCACGATGATGACGGACATGGGAAGGTGTGACGCCTGCACGATGGCCTCACGCGTGTCCGCCATGTCCGTAATCACGCCGTCCGTCAGGATCAAAAGGATGAAGTATTGCTAGAGTAAACGAGCGCAACGACAAAACAAACACGCCTCAGGCTGCATAGCTCATTCTGAAGTCACTTCTAGTAGATACCCTGGAAAGCAGATCTAATATGTATATAAAAAAAAATAATAATAATTCATAGCCATGTTATCTACCATAGCCTCTTTGGTGTGAACCTCCTGCGAGGCGGAGTTGGCCACTTTGTGTATGATGGGAGCTATGTTAGTGGGTCCATAGAGTTGAAGTTTGGGAAGGCATGCCTGGTAGGCCTCCACCACACCCTGAATACCTGAAGGGAAATGAAAAAAACGCAGGAGGAAAAACATGACAAACACATGAGAATTGCATGTTCATCACTTCCTTAGCAACTCATCTCACTTGTTCACAGCCCAAACGTAGTGACTGAAGAATGATATAAAAGTCATTGTGTGACCTGCCTTTGCGGTCAAGCTAAGTGTGTCACGTTTCGGTTTGTGACCAACAGGTGGCACTGTGGGGCTTTTCCCCCTGTAGCTGCACACCTGTTGGTAATTTGGTAATTGGAGCTATAAAAGGACGACTCCCAGCCTGACCACTCACTGTCGGGTCATTGTTGCTTTGTGCTACTGTCATGTTTGTTTGCTGTCATGTTTGTTTGTCAGGTTTTGGTCAGTGTTATGTTTTATCTTAAGTCATGGTTTTTGTTTGTTACTTTGGACTTTGTTTTGGATTTAGTTTTCTTTGTTTTAAATACACTTCTTCGAATACACCCTGCTCCTCCCTCCTGCCTGCTTTTTGGGGTCCACCAC